GAAGATGGCTGTAATAGTTGGCGGCGAACCCAGAAAGAAAACAGCAGCAAGAAAGAATGAGAAAAAAAAAACGAGGAAAACAAGACTTTACTGCTCTTATACCATGTAAGTAAACCCTATTCGATTCTAGGTTGAAGTAGAGAAGAAGAAAGGAAAGAGAAAGAAGAAGAAGAAGAGAAGGGTTCGGCCAGACTAGAAGAAAGGAAAAGTCACCTCTCCCTAGCCGACCCACTTGTATTTATTCCAAATAATAGACTTACAAGAAAGACCATATTGTCCCTCATAAGAGATGGGACACATAACTTAAACTTAGATAAAATAGACCTTTCACTCTCAAACAGATAAACCAAAATGACCAAAATACCCCTGATTCGAGTATTCTAACAAATACAAATCGTCAAAATGGCGGATCAGATGCTTTGCCCTCTTCATTTGTTCTTTGTTAACCAGAAAAGGAGACACATCATTTTTTCACTTTCCCCCACAATTAGCATGCTTACAATCTCCAATATTCCCACCACAGACAGCATAACAAGGTATGCAATTCATGATTTATAATATGCACAAATACATTCTCTATACCTCTTTCTTGCATTAATAGAATTGGCATCCATCCCAAGTTTTCTCCCCATAGGCTATGCAACGTTGCTCCCATTTCAATTTTAAAGCTTAATTCTTTAAGGTTAGATCACTCCTTAGGAAAAAAAAACTAAAATTATTATATAAAATAAAAAACTAGCACTTTGACAACTTGGTGCAGTTCCTTATATGCTTCTACATCATGCCATATTGAAAAGTAAAAAATGGAACCTTATATACCAGGAGATTCCATTGCTGCAGGTTTAGAAACCACAGTGAAATTGGTTTTCTCAGTATCAGAGATGCAACCTGGGCAGGATTAGATTGACAATTCTTAAAATTTAAAGGGGACTGGCTCGAGGGTAAGACCCAATAGTATTACAAATTCTTCAAATCAGGTATCCAACTTGCACACCTTGGAGAGATTAGTGTTGTTGAACATCAATTGGCAGGAATGCAGGTCATTTAACAGCAGCCTCCATGGATTTTGACTGGAGAGAAAACCATTGTTGCAACAAGCTATCGAGTATTGAGTCTATTGACTTACTAATTTGGGATGGAATGGGAAGGAAACACAAATTGTCATATACATCGCATTACACTCTGACAACAGAATCAGAATGAAATTTTTATATTGCAGTTATAGGAAATGTGTGAACCTAAATTCCAAAAATTGTAGCTTGCATAAATTACAATTCAATTACTGTGATTGCATGCAGAAGTACAAATCTAAGGTGCCCATGTTTAAAAGCCTTAAAATGTAAAAATTGAGGAATACCTGGAGAAAGATAGGAAGTAATGGCTGAAGAGCTTTTGGAAGGCAGAACCCAGGTATAAGGACTGGTCCACCCTGCAAGTCCATTAAACAACAGGAGATGCAGTGTCAGGCACATAATACATATATCAACAAACCAACTAAAATGCAAAATTTTCTCCAACATACCTTCCTTTTTCTACGTTCTTTATCTCTAGATGTAGATATAGCATCACGGACTAGTTTTATGTACGATGGGAGTACTTCTTTAGGAACTGAACCAACAACCCTAGATAAAGCTTCCCAAGCAACCTGTTGCAAAGACAATAACTAAAATTAATAGAGTACAAAGAAGATAGAATAGGCCATAATATGTTCATATCATTTACCGCTACAGTAGCTGAATCTGTATCACTTAGCAAAATGATAAGCGTGGAGATCATGTTTGGGGCTTCATCAACCAAATATAATTTGCTGTTTTTGAAGAAATATCCTACTAGATAGCAAGAATTTCTTCTAATTAAAGCCTGAAAAAGATCATGAAAAGGAGATAAATAAACATTTAGAAAGATGTGGTTAAACAATTTGCCTCATACAAATGAAAAACCTACGGAAAACAGACCTGGTTATCACTGACACCTTTAAGAAGTTCTGACACCAAAGAATCTACACCCTCCTCATCAATGACCAACACCACTGTTTCTGCAGCCTTTGTTGCCAAATTTTGAACCTCCTAAATTTTTTTCAACAAACAACAAACACATCAATAGAGAATTCAAAACGTTTTTTTTTAATAGTGAATAACAGAACATTATCTTGCTTCCTTTCCCAAAACAATTTGTTACCTTAACCAATCAACCTATTTATTTATCCTTATAAACTTAAAATGTAACATCTTGGAGTTTTCCATGCACGCATAATTCTTCAAATCATGTTCATAATAAGCAATGGGTGATTTTCTTTTGGAAGAAGTCRGTAAATAGTAGACTTCCTCCACTTCAACTAAAGACTGCTAAATTTCAACAAATGGCACTAAAGCCCATATTGGTGTAAACAATGGGAGAAACCATACACATGAATTCAGAACAAATTCATCCAGAAAGATTAGAGCAGATTGGAAAAAATGGAGGGCAGCATCTAGACTTTTGTGTGATTGGGAAAAATGTAAGGCCAGCTATGTTGTATGGAGTAGAGTATTGGGCAGTCAAGAAACAACATGTTCAGAAATGAGTGTGGCAGAAATGTGAATGCTAAGATGGCAGAGTGAGAAAACTAAAAAAGGAGAGAATCGGGAATGAAGCCATCCATAGAAACCTAGGAGAAGTTCCAACAAGTGATAAAATGAGAGAGGTCAAGATGGTTTGGTCATGTGCATAGAAGACCACCAACAGTTCCAGATAGAAGAAGTGATTTGTCACAAGTAGAAGGGGCTAGAAGAGCTAGGGGTAGACCAAAAAGGAGATTGGTAGAAGTAGTAAGAAATTATTTAAGCACTAATAGTTTAACAGTGGATATAGTTTTAAATAGAATGGATTGGCGATGATTTTATCCAGAAAGACATTGTCTATACCCCAAAGCACTTTGGTGAAGCAACCCATTCCACAACCCATCCAGAAAGACATTGTTAGGATAAGTAAAAAAAAAAAACAGAAATGAAGAATATAAAAGAGGGATTTACAGAAATTTTCCTGTGATCTGGGCATAGAGGTTCTATTGGGGCCAACCAACTCAATCCCCATCTCTAAGAGGTCAAGATTAGAGGACAACTACCTATAAAAATAGATAGAGCAGCTTCTTCGGAAGCTGAAGGTTTTTTTTTTTTTTGTTTTGACTATTATATAAAAAACTGATTACATGAATTATTCTTTCTCAACATGGAACTATTATATAAAAAGAGATAGAGCAGCTTCTGCACATCATCAAGGATGTTATTCTTTCTCAACATGGAACTACTATCTCATGAGTACAGTACCTGCAAAACTTTATGGTTGTTAAGGAAAATGTACTATACACTGGAGGCTAAGTGCATCCTATTGTCCTAAATCCACAGATCAAAAATCACACTGCAAAGGCTATATCACTATTACTTATTGGTAATTTATGAATTGTGCAGAATATAATCAAAGCATAAAACAAAAGAAAGTTGGGGAAGAGGTAAATTGATAAAAAAACAAAGGTGTTTTACCAAAAATACGAAACCAGTCTCTTAAACATAATACTTATAAAAATATAAACTTAAATTTTAAAACAAACGTTTTAAAAAACCTATTATCTAAAATTAAAGTACATAAACATAACACGTAAAGCACATTCAAATGAAAATTTAAAAATAAAATAAAACATATAAAACATTTTCAAGCATGTAAAACCCACAATCTCTTTTTTCCCCGTCTCTAAAAACACATCCTATACCTGATAATCCAGGGTCTCCCGGACTACTTGCATCAAAATTGAGGTTAACAAAACCTCTGTTCAGTGGAGAGCAAATAGGATTAGTTATTATCCTACTCAGTGTTTTATAAGCACAAGGCACAAAAAAAGTGCAAACACCATTTTGCGCCCAAGGTGCAAGTACAGGCACACACCTTTTTGAAGGAAGGCACAAAATTAAAAAAAAAAAGAGTAAAAACATAAACAAAAATAAAAATAAATTAAGAAAATATTAAAAATAGTATTAATTAAATTTTCAAACTTTAATTTTAAACTAAATGTTGTAAAAAAACCTATTAGCTTAAATTTAAATACATAAGCATAACATATAAAACATATTCAAAGTGAAAAATGCAAAAATAAAATAAGAAACAGCATACAAAACATATTCAAGCATGTCAAACTTTTAATTTCTTTATTTCTTTCTCAATTGCATTAATTCAAATAGTTAATGTGATGTCACATCTTTCATGCCTAATTCTAACTAGGGCTGTCAATGGTACCCGAAAATCCGAGATCTGATCCAACATCCGATCCGATTATCTTGGATTCCAATTGTGTATATATGGATCAGATTTGGATGTTACAATCTATATCCGATTGATAATCGGATCAGATTCAGATTTGACCCCATCCAATCCAATTAAAATCCGAATCCGATTATAATATAACATTTATTAATTTTAATATATAAGTTTTATATAATTATATTTAAAATTATAATAATATATTCTATATGTTATATTATATGTAAATTTATGTATATAATATATCCGTTTGGATACGGATTCGAATCCGAGTCCTTAAATCCAATCAGATTTCAGATCAGATTCGGATGTATGCTATCAGCAATCGGACCGGATGCAGCAGTCTGATCTGATTACAGCCCTAATTCTAACAGTTGTCCTTGCACCAAGCCCCTTGGGGCAAGCCCATACAAGTCCAAGTTAGTGTCTTAATGCTCTTAATCCAAAAAGAAAAAAACGATTTTATAATTTTAATTATCTTTTAAAAATATCTTTTATTACCCGAACATAGGCTTGTTTGGCCATGCTCAAAAAACACCAAAAAGTGCAAAACATGAGAGAAAATTGCCACGGAGTTCCAACTGCTGAGGACGAGTAAGCCACTGCATATTACTCCTTAATGATATGAATAACAGATTAAGACTACAATGTACCTGATGCAGAACAAGTAAACCGTATATATTAGGGCCATACACCCATTCCTATAGGGCTCCCCTACAATTCATGTGCCTCAAATTTTAGTGGATTTTCTTCTAGCATTCTGGCTACCCATGCACCATAATTTACGCCCACAAGAAGAAGTYCAATATTGAAAATTCTGGAATAAAAAATTCTAAGATGTCTAAAAGATATTTTGTACTTTTTTATTTTATTTTGTTCCAATTTACACAATATTTGACTAGCAAGTAACGGTGATTGATACCATTTAGGGTTTCTTGCTTCTCAACAAATAGTAATGTACTCAATTTCATCTTAAAGTTAGCAAGCAAAATGAAATCTGAGTGAAGTTTATATCTAACCGAGGACATAAGTAGCAGCTTCCACTCCTATTAAAACATACTGTAACAATCCAAATAACAAAGAAATCTGAAACATTTATCTATCGCATCATAATTGCATCAACCTAGGAAGTGCTAATATAGAGAGCCAATGGCTTGCAAATAAAAAATAGGATCTTACTGTGTCATCATCACCCATTGCAGATAATAAAGCCGGAAGTATAGTCCCAAGGTGAAAATTAAGCCCAGGTCCAGCAACTTCTGCTAATGCTCCCAAAGCATGTGCATTAAAGGCTCTGGAAGCACATAAAAGAAGCTTTTAGCAAGAATCCACTTTTTCAAGGATAGAATGCTAAATACAAGATTATGATGAACTTACGAGAGGGGAAGCTGGACCAGCTTGGGCAGGATATGGGGCAAAACAGCTGCAGTCCTGACACTAGTATGGGAAAATGAAACAACTTTAATACCTACTACAACAAAAAAAAAAATGCATATTGACAAAGAAAGTGGCCAGCATTTATTAAATAGGGAACTGATTTCCAACCTCAAGATTTGCTTGAGACCATCAAGGGCAGTATCAGATGTTTCATCATCTTCCAGAGCATGTAAAAGTGTTGGGACAATCTCATCAATTGCTTGCAATCCCGCACTCTACATTTTTTAGATTATTTTAAGTTCATTTGCAACATCAGAGATCAAATTAAGTATCTCAAATAAACAGTAAAAATTAACAAAGCACACCTTGTATAGAGTACTGAACGCTAGGCCAGCAGACTCACGAACCTCAGGCATACTGTCAATAAAAATATGAGACTGATTTTGAGGTAATAGGGATAAGCATCAAAATGAGTATTCTGGAATAAGAACAAACCTATCACAAAGAGCTGTCCGAATAGTAGGAATGAGCTCATCCATGAAATTCAACAACTGACTTTTACCAGCACTAGCCATCACCTCACTCAGACCAATGCATACACCCTGCCAGTCAACCATGAATATTAAAGAGGATAAATGATATCACAATTTCACTAATAAAGACAGTCTAATCCAAATTGTGAATTTTCTTCGAAATATAGAAAGACTGTATATTCACCTTCTCATGAAGAGATCTAATATATGCATTCCTAATTTATCATTACCAGATATTCCTTTTGTTGGATTGTATGTCCACACTGTCACTGAATGAATATATTGGATAGGGACATGTTGAACTTTACAACAACAAACTTGAAATGGAAATTATTGCACATCACAAAGAAAATACAAACAGAAGCATCTTGAACACCATTTTCTCCTAATGTGGTGAAGTTCACAAAATACGGAGAAGTTAAAAAATCATTTCTCCACTAAGAGATATGAATAAAAGGCAAAAACTCTTTTGTTTAGATCATTAATAGATATGAATAAAAGATGGAAGTTAACTTATAAAAACAAACTTCACATGACAGCTTCCAAATATTGCAAAGGAGATAAAGACAAGCATCTTGATCACCATGTTCTCTTCTGTGGTGAAGATGGCAAAGACTATGTTGTTTAGATTATTAAGAAATGGCAAACATTAAAGGGAAAGGTTTAGAGTGACTTGTATGGTGATGCATGCAAGTAAAGCAATTTGATTCTGGGGCACACTGAAAATGTTTGCCATATATACATTGATATGCTAGGAAATACATAAGATTACCACATATGAAGGGATCATATTCGTTTTACTGTTTAAGCAATTAGAGATGAAAAATAGGAATTGTCAATAAAAAAACATACTTGTCCGTATTAGCAATTAGGCATTAGTAAACAATGTGAAAAATAAAATATATTCTTTTACTAACTAATAGCTTTTTAATGAATAACTCAACTTAACAAAATGTGGATAAAGAGAATCTGTAAGTACAATCAGCCAATGAGCCAAACAGCCCTATGCTCAGGTCAGCATAACTATCTAAACCCAACTAGTAGCATCTAATTCTACAATTGTCCCCAAAATATTTCTGTCCTATTAACCCCACTCTTGGCTAATGCATCCACAAGGCTATTGGCAATCATTGGCAACCTGGCAACACTAACTACCATACCTCTTGCTAAACTTCTTAACTCCCTCATCATGTAACTTTTATATTTAACATTGTATTCACTAAATTGTTTACCTGATCTATATGTGCAATATTAATATATACTCATTTCCTTTCAGATCACAGAAATATGTGGGTTCTATATATGAGACACATAAAGCTCAACATTAGGCTGATTAAATCAGTGAAACCATCTGATAATTATACATTCGGATTAAATAAATTAAATCCAAGTTTTCAGAATATATAACATCAGCAAATTGTCATTTTTCCGCTCTCAATGGTCAACATGTTTGAATGCCTTTACATTCGTGATAAGCTGGAAGAGACTGTAAGAGAGAATAAAAGGAACCACAGCTTCAATAGTTTTGACATCCATGTTGTTTGGTGAAGCTAAAAGAATGAAAAAAGGTAGAAGAAAGTGAAGAACCTACTGCAGTAGCACTGTAGGGTTAGATAACACTGGCCCATAACATTTAAGTTTGCAACACTGGCCCATAACATTTAAGTTTGCAGGGTTCAGACAGATTCAGAAACAACGCAAGTAGCACTGTTCATTATGAGTGCCTTGTAAAGAACCTACTGCAGAACAAATTCATCATAAAGGATCCAAACAAAATGTCGTATAATGAAACTAAGCAATTAGACAAATGTTCACAATCTTATACAAACTCAACTAGATAAAGGCAGCACTACTGCTGGCATATTAACTACAAACCAACAGAGAAGTGATTATTTAGATTATATGAAATCTAACAAAACCCAAGCAACCTCCATTGACAACTGAATGCACAGACAGTATAGTTTATCATTTCTCCTATGTGTACACAAACTTACTTGTCTTCTGCTAGTATTAGGGTCTTTTAGACCTTGCGATAAGATTGGGATAATCAGAGGAAGGACCCTTTCACCAAGCTTTCTGACAAGCTCACCCAGCGATCGCCCAGCAACCTGAAAATTCATCAGCACTTAGGTAGAAGAGTCAAAATTGGKGCCAATTAAGAAGCCAAATCTAAATTCCAGAACAAATAGGAAAACCTGACGCCTTTCAGATGACGAAGATGCAAGAGAAGTGATGAGGGTATTCATCAAAACTGGCATTATTTCCTTGAGAGTCTTAGGAGTGTTTGCTACTATAGTCTTCCATACATGCAAGGCAGCCTGATGGATGAATTAAACCACCAAAAAATTAATACTGTTAAGATTAATTTGGTATCACATGAAAGAATTTGAGGGAATGATACAAGAGAAGCATTCAAGTTGGGAATCCAATAAAAACCAATTATCTCACCTGCCGTACTGATAAGCTGACATCAGTTCGCACCATATATACAGCAGCAAGGACCTCATTACGCTTATCCCTTCCAAGTACCTCTATAATAGCACGGCCATGTGCTTCAGTACTTGAACCTTCATCATCACTACCACCCTCAAGAATCGCTTTTCCAGATGTACCAGCAACCTGGATGATGTTTAAATATTTTCATACAGTAAACAGTCAGGAACTAGAAAGCCATATTGGGGAGAATCTTAATGTCCATTACCTTGAAAAGAAGGTCACCCAAAAGTTCAACAGAGCTTTGTCGAATACGCCAATTATCATTGAAAATACCATCTTCTACAGCTGGAAGTAGCAGTGGCAATGATCTGATTTTGCAAGAAGAGAAGACATGAGCAAATCACTGTTGCATTACAAATAAATTCACATAGAAGTTCAACAGTAAGTAGGAATTCTTGGTGTACAGACGTTGTTGCATAATGTTCGACCAGAACATGCCCAGCACTGAGTGCAGCATCACGAACAGATTCATTCTCATCAGCAAGGCCTGAGAATATAAGCTGACTTAGCATCTAAAGCATACTAGAATTAAGATACATATGACATCCAATCACACGGGTATAAGAATGTGCACATACCATCTAAAATAGCAGGTAGCACCTGCTGCAAATAGTTCTGGAACATGACACCAAATGATCTTGGCAAATACTAAACCAAAGAGAGAGAACATTTAGTACTAAAGCAAAATAAAAAAAAAAGGAAAAGAAAAAATAACCATGATAAACACAAAAGCATAAAACAATCTTATAATATAATATTCACCTTGAACACTGTTAAATACCCATCACGTACAGATGCCCTTTGATGAGAGCAGTTCCTAATAATATCAGGGAGTGTGTGCTCAAAGTAATCCCTCCCAAGAGCTGCTAAAACCTGAAACCATAGGTGCTCAAAGAAAAGTTAGCGAAGAAGAAAGGCATCAGCATAATTGCATGATGTAGCAGTATTGCCTCATACTTCTGATTTAATAAATTATATTCATCCATCAAAAAAAATGTGTGATATAGCAAAATAAAGAAAATCAAGCACAGATTATTAAAAAAAAGCACACATGGTAATATACATTTCTATCATAGGATCAGCCTATTCTTAGCTACTGTATGTTATACATTCATTTCAACATGTTTATATGGAAAATATCTAGAAAATGTACTACAGTAAATGAACTTTAATACCAGAGAAAAGATGCAAAAGATTTTATGAATGAAAGTTGATAAGGAGCTCCACAATGACTACAACAAGATATGGAACGGTATCATCAGTTTTTACTTCAATCTGTGCACCCAATTTCCAGACTGTCATAGGAGAAACAAATCGTTAAGGACAGAAGTTGTTAAGACAATCCAAAAGATCTCTGGGGTAGAAACCCTAATGTCATGGTAACTCTTTAATTTTTATTTTTGTGTTCAGCTAAAATCTCAACCTCACTAGTAAGATGAAAAAGACTTCTTCCCACAGGATTGAATTGAAGATTTAAATGTAAGAACGCTATCATCAGTTTTTGAGTGCAATGAAAAAAAAATAAAGAGCATTTAGAGAGTGAGTAGAACAGAACATTAGATTGAGAGCTAAATCACATGAACTCTGTGATAAATTACATCAGTTGAATAGTGTTAGAATCGTAATACGAGAGTTCCAAAAATATGATCTTCTCCCACCAGCAATCCTAGGGTGCCAAACAATGAAATAGTTTTACACAGGTATAATAAAAGCAGCAGTTGTTATGTAAGTTAGTTAAAAAATGATTTGAAAGATATAGTTCTACTGATCAAACTCGCCCAACACGTGGTGGAAAAAAAAGAAGTTAAAGATGGTCGTTCTCGTGAAAATGTTAACAAATCAATAACAATTTTACTGATTGAGAGAGAGAGAGAGAGAGCTTAAGTTGTTTTGAATTTGGATTAGCTGAATGCGTTTGCTGTTCAATGGGCTTTGGAACCAATGATGAGGTTCCACACCAGTAATAAATTCATTGGCCCCCTGTAAAAGACACGGGCCCCATGTATTCAAATACTGGCATGGAACCTTATCACTGGTTCCACAGCCTGCTGAACAGCTAAAGCATTCAGCTAAACCTTGCTTAGTTGTTTCAGTTAGCTCAGAACAGGAATATGAAAGCCCCAATATTACGAATAATCATCAGGTTCTTACAATGGCCCCTATAGCAGATCCCCAATACAATTCTATCGCTAATGAACCAGCTGTTGAATTGGTTGACCTGGGTGTGCATCTGAACTATCTGTGAGTTTCTTTCCATAGTCAGCCTTTTCACATCCCAAAGCCTTTGCTAATCCAAACCCTTGAAACAATTGACCACGTACAGGGTCAGAACTAACCAACAGTTACTTCTTATACTGTCCTTGGGGGAAGGGTTCTAGTGGCATGTGTTGCATTTATACTTAGAGGATAAAGAAAGAGCATACTGCCAACATTCAATTACATCATCAGTCCTTTCTTGCTTAAACCCAATGAGCCACTCCCAAATGTTATCCGCACAACCAAACAATACATCTAATTCCAATGATCTATTCCTCAAATTTGTTGCTATGTCACTGCTACAGAAAGCTATGCCAAAAACAATGAAGACACTTTGACCTGGGGTTCCCCTTCCATTACTTCTTTCACAACAAAGAAACAATGAAGCGAGAATTTAAAACTTTTCTCAGAAATCCTTACCCCAGAGTAAGGATCACGCCTAAAAATGTGAGAATGATCGCAATAAAGCAAAGATGGATTTCCAAGTAAGGTTGTTTTTCATGCCTGTCTCTGTCCCTGCCATTGATTTTTCACACACTGTTTATCCTTGCAAAAAACAGGGAAACTAGAGTGTTTGATGCCTATGATGTCCAACAAAGGGTTATTTCATGCTGCCCTACTTTGAGAACAAACCTGAATGATTAGGATGTAGAGAAGTGTTGGAGGTGGAATAAGTCTGCGGTTTTCTCAATTAGGTCAATGTATAGGCAGTTGACCAGAAGCCAAGATCCGCATATCCCTCACAAGGAARTTTGGTTGTCCCACATTACTTCTAAAGAAGCCTTCCTACTGCGAGCTGCAGTGTGGGAGAAATGTTTAACCAGGGACAGCGTAGTAAGAAGAACAATCAGCATACAATCGGTGGTTTGTGCTCTTTGCGGGAGTGACAGAGAATCTCAAACCATCTATTTCTGCATTACAAAGGTGTGGCTCAGGTTTATGCATACTTCTGTGGTTTGCTAAAGCTGAACATTTCTTGGAGCTCTTCAGCAAAGTTCTCAGATCATCTTTTATCTTGGAGGCTGAGCTGAACCCCAGCTGCAGTAATTCGACACATCTGGAAAGAAAGGAACCAGTGAATTTTCCAGAGCAGGAGCTGTTCCATGGAAACACTAAGCAGAAAACTCGTTGGTTCAAAGTATTCCTGGTTGGCTGCCATGGACCAATTCATAGATTAGACCACCAAAGTTATTTTGACCGTCATGTTGTCTTTGTAAGGATGGCTGGGAGCATACAGATTGAATATATTTGTATATAATAGACAGTGGGTGCAGATAGGTCGTATTTTCTAAAGGGTTGTACTATCTGGGTCGTATTTTCTAACCGAATCTCCATAACTACATACACAACAAAGAAGAATTTCTTAGTCTATACATTATTATACCCAAATAACACTCTTCTTTTAACCTCTATACATTACTATACCCAAACCACAAGCATGCCCATTATGATTTTCTTTAACCTATTTGTGACAAGCACTGATGTCCAAAAATGTAAAGTAACTAAGATGGTTGGAGAACATAAATCTAATGATAATGGTTTCCCCAAAAGGGTAAATATAATTATTTATTTCAGGTCAAAGTAGAACATGGGCTACTGAGAAATTAAACAACAAAGAGTGCTAGCACAGTTCACCATACTGACATCACCCAAATTGGCTCTTAACAGACCCAATTGATCTTCAGATAAGAGATTCTATTAAACAATTTACCAGGCATGAGAGAATTCTATCGATTTGCTCCCATAGATCTTAACAAAAAAATGATGTCATAGGAACATTTAAAATGAGATACAACAATTCCATCACTACCTACTCTAAAGCTCTTAAAGCCAACATTGCTATCCTATAAAATCCACAACACTGCTGCTCTTGTATATTTCCACATTAATCTTCCCCTTTTTTTTGGGCACCTAAGCACTAATGCATCGAACAACCTATTCAGTCTAATAGGACGAATCCATCTACACCCAGAAAGAACAAGAAAACAATTCCAAATAAAACAAGCTAATGGACAGGACATTAATAGGTGGTATGCAGTCTCACCATTTGATTTACACCTGATAGATCAATTAGGAGATAGAAGCCAGCTATGTATTTTTTATTTTTTGTTGTAGGTCAAGAGTATTAATGCTTCCACGGAAAGCTTCCCAACAAAAGGCACTCCCCAAGCCAAAAATCTATCATCCCATCCATTCTTTATAGAGCCCATGAATGCTAACCACAAGGACAACTAAATTCTTCTTGCTAACATTACCTATTTCCAAACCCCCATCCGCTTTCCTTATGGTCAGTTGGTCACTATCTCCCATCTAATCAAACAATCCTTCCTCCCCTCCCCAGGACCTCAAAGGAAATCCCTCATAAATTTCTCTAATTTTTAACAGCCAATTGTGACATCTTGAAGAAAGAGAGGTCAAACACAGGAAGATTAGCCAAGGTGGACATGATCAATGTCTCTTTTTATATTTGTTTCATGGTTTGGAACAAGATAATAATTTAAAGAAGTGTACTTCAGGTTCTTTATCATTTCACAAAATATCATTAAAGGATACAGAGAAAGCTTCCCACAAAGAAGCGTGAGGTGCAGCCTCAGGTAAAACAAAGAATTACAGTTTAGCCCAAAAAAGTTGATTCCTATGCACCCCTAGTTTAGCTAGAGAATATGCCAATCCATTTGCTGATCTCCTTTCCCAATGAAAGCTRACTGTCATATTTGTGGTCAGCCATTTGAATCTTCAAAAATCCCCCCTATAGGACCAAGCCACTCTTTCCAGTTCTTTCAACCACACCGTAAGTTTCAAATCACCTTCAGTTAACAACTGTTCGGAATTCAATTCTTTGGCAGATTCTTGATGGGATTTTCTTGGAACCCACAAAGACAGATAGTAGGATCTGGTCTTTGTTTCCCTCAGGATCCTTTACTTGTGCATCCTTCTTTAAAGCCCTGATACAACTAGAAATTCCTATTGGACTGCCATTCCCTGTCAAGGAAGTGTGGTGTAAACCTATACCTCCGAGGGTTGAGAGCTTTTGTTGGGAAGTTTTCCTTGAAAGAATCAACACAGGTGACCTACTTCGAAGAAAAAAACCCAATAGATGTTTATCTCCACACTAGTGTGTTTTATGCAAAGCTGCTGGTGAATCTGGGTACCACTTACTAATATCTTGTGTTTTGGCAAAAAATATTCGGGATTGGTTTGCTTCTTTATTTGGGTGTAGGTGGACACCTCCAACTAGTCTGCAAAGCTTGTTTTCCTCTTCACCTTTTGAATGCTCAACGAAAAGATCAAGAATTATGTGGAGATGCGTGAGAGCTGCTGTGTGTTGGACATTATGGGAGGAAAAGAAAGCAAAGATCTTCTCGGAAAAGGAGAGAGGCTTGGAAAATATGGTAGAGTTGATTCATATAAGAGTAATACACTGGCTAAAGACTATGAAGGAGTTTACAGATTTTTCAACAAACGATTTGCTAAGAAAGTGGAAAGAAGTTGCTAGCTCAGTTACAAGGAAGAAGACTTTGAATTTCATGTGGAACCCTCCACCTCCTGGTTTTATCAAACTAAATTTTGATAGCAGTAGCAAGGGGAATCCAGGGCCTTCGGGTATTGGGGGAGTC